GAAGCTGCACATTTTAGGTTTCCTTACTAAAACGGTTTGAACAAGTTCTCTTGTGATCTTTTTCTTCTCTTTGTCTGACAGTGGGACATACTATTTCTGCAGTCGAAGCTTTCCCTGATGACTAAAAAGCAACATAAACTGCATGGTGGCCGTGGGCCGCAGACTTGGCGAGACTCCACCAGTGGAGGTGGTGCCGGCGGTGGCGGCAGAGGTGCCCGAGGGGGAGCCCCTGTCACTGAGCTGAGGAAGGGAAGTCGTGTTGCTGTGAGGAGGGGAACCGCTAGGTGGAGGAAGGCTTAAACGGACAGGGGCGGGCACACCGAAAGACTCCACCCAGGGGCCGGACGAGGGAGGAGCCGGGGCTGCGGCGAGAGGCGGGGCGAACCGGGTGACGTGCGGGAGGCCTCTCTACTGAGGCCAACCGCACCGGAGGTAACGCGGGTGCTTCGTGCTGTGAGTAAGCCGATTGGTCCTATCGCGATCGGGAGGCGTGGCGCCTACCGGAAACTAGGCCACGTGACCCGGAAGCGGCTACTGCCACGGCCGGTGCGCTTGCGTATTTGTGCTCTTGTCTCGGGGATGCGCGCGGGCGGTTTCGGTTTCTCTTGCGCTTAACTGCCCGGAGGATGGGGTTCCGCGGCGCCCTCAGTTGACCCCTTGGTGCAGGATAGGGAGGGTCCGGACCGCAAAGAGCCGAATTCGAGTTCCAATGATTCTCCTTGCCCCCAAAGAGTGGGACAGAGAGGTGTGACGGTCGGTGAGAATAGTGGGAGGAGGGGAGTGCTACCCCTTGGGAAAACAAACCGGCTCTGTTGAAGCTAGCGCTCGCGCTCCCAGGGCGGCCCCGCCTTCGATTCGCCCTGCCACAGCCCTAGCCCCGACACTTTCGCCCCAAGCTTCGCCAGTCTCTGCGGGCCCGCCTCGCCGGTTCAGTGCTGCGGACTGGATGAGTTACTGTCCGTTCTGGGCTGCAAAGTCCCGGCAGCACTTCGTCTTCGGTATCCCGCTTCCTTCACACGCGGTCGCCCTCACCAGCCGCCTGGGTTCCAGTTTACCCTTGCCGACGACTTGCTGTGCCTGGCATGTCCTTCCTCTCAAATGTCACATCTGTGAAGCCTCACCTAAAACTCTGTAAGAACGAATCCCTCTTTCGCTCACGTGCCTTTTAGCCTCTCCTTAGTACATCGTGGCTTTTATTCATTTTGCATTTGAACTTAGTTCACTGCTTGGTATGTAACACAACAGATGTGAGTGGACTGATAAGACTCTAAAATGATAAATTTGTTAAGAGCCATAATGCTGAGCTAACGCTGAGCAAATAATGGATGTTCGTGAGTATTATTTTTTGAATGATAGAACGGGTGTATCATTTAGTTCTCATCTTTTATAGATAAGGGAAGGGGAGCCCTACGGGATTAGGTGACCTTGCTTGAACAGCCACGGGTTTCCCATGTCGAATGCTATTCATTCCCCGAGCCACCCAGGTTCTTACAAAGGAAGATAAAAATTTGCTTTTGTTGGGCCATGCCCTCTTTTTAATAAACAATTTTATTTAGTCTCCTGAATTCTGTAATGTCCCAAAGTATAAAAGAAATGCTAAATATTTCATGAAGCTGAATTTAATCAGTTTGGAGGACTCTTATTAGCTATTATGTTCATTTGGGCGTATTACAATATCTGTGAAACTAAGATGGTATATAATAGGGATTTGAGGGCATTTTAAAATGCCCCTATTTAACAAAACAAAAAAGTATAGTACCTCCCCTTTTCAGCACTACTATGCTGCTTGGAAAGTTTCCTACTAACATACATGATTAATGTGTACTAGAATATTAAAGAGTAGTCTGCAGAAAGCACAGAGCCAGCTTTCTGTAACTCTTTAGGCCCCCTGCCTAAATCTCTCCTGCTACGTGCTCAAACATGCCCCAAAGATGCTTGGTAATGTCCTATTTCTCCCTTACTACAGGAAACATCAGACAGTTCAAAGATAGCTGTAATACTACGAAACGAAAACTGATTCTAAGTCCTCCCTTTGCTTTTTTTCCTGTGCAAAACTCGTTTGTCCTCAAGGTTTCTGAGATCGACACCTGCAAGATTAAACTCATTGGTTATGCTCCTGTGTTGGTCTGTGAATCAAAAACTGAGGACTGGCGACTTACTGGTGATATATTGGCAGTCTCATCTCTGTGTTTACCTAGCCAAAAAAAGGTAGGGGTGGGGGTAGGGAGGGAAGGCATTATGGGAAAAATAATTAGCAGCTGAAAGCAGCTATTACATAATCCTGGCTGCTTATTAATTTAGCAGAAGAAATGGCTTATTAAATTCTAATAGCAACAGCACAACTGCAAACAACCTAGCAATTAACAGTGCAGGGCCATTATTTTGTTAATATGTTCTCTTCTTCTGGCAAGTGTATAAGAACAAAATTTGTAGAAGCAGATGGTCTTTTTCAGTAGATTATAGATGGTTTATTCCCCAGTTTTAGTATTAAGTGATAATTGTGAATTCACTGTGAAAGAAAAAAGAAAGGCAGTTGCCATCTTTGTTAGTAATTAATTGCTTGACTTTGATTCCCACAATTTCCAAATTGTAGCCTTTGTTATATACATTTCTTCTTATCTAGTATCTTTTTCATCTGTCGTGTCAAAAGGGTATCATTTTCAGTCCTTTTTTTGTTTTGTTTTTTGTTTTCTGAATGATCCTGATTTCTTGGTGTTAATAATATAAAAATTAGAAGACAAAATTATTTTTTAAAAATTAAAAATCAGACTTAATACTTGTATCCTAAATATTAAAAAAGTGCCTTGCTGGCATTTGTGCTAAATGCAAGAGATGAGGGGGAAATAAGGATTTTACCTTTTAACAATAAAATTGTTGGGCTTTATGTAATTGTTCAAAGTTCTCAAAGTAATTTTAATTTCCTGTTAAATGTATGATGGCCATATGTTTTTATCCCCTCTCCTCAAAAGACCATTAAATGAAGAAAACAAAACA